AAATAGGAGCATATGAGGGAAAAGGTACTAGAATGAAATCAGCATATTATTAGCATCTTTAGAGAACTCTGATATTACCCTTATTTGATCAGTATAAAAAATCAGGATGTTATTAGCATCTTTGAAGAACTCTGATATTGCTCTTAGTTTGACCTGTAAAAAATCAGCATGTGATTAGCATATTTGAAGAACTATTATATTACCCTTTTTTTTTACCTTAAAACATAGGGTGCTTACATGATGCAATATAACTCCATCTATGGTGGGGCACCTTTGGTGTCCCAGCATAGCAGGTCCCAAGCCCTGGTAAAAGAGAGGGTTTGTGTTAGGCGCGGCGAGTCAATGTAAAAACTTAGCCACTTTTATGGAGATGAAACCCCAAAAGAATCCCGTTGGGGCGTAACTCTCTTAGCGACGCGCCATGTCGGAACCCAGGTATGGTGTTAAATGAGCAAGGGCCGGGTCGTCACCCTCGTAACGCGCCGTGTCGCGATCTGGGCACGGTGTCAAGTGAGCAAGGATCGGGTCGTCGCATCCTTAGTGGCGTGCCACATCGGCGCTCGGATGTGGTGCAAAATGAGCAAGGGTCTTCACACCTACCTCGGCGGGTGCGAAGGGTAAGGAAGCTAGTCGAGCCAACTAGGATCCGTTTAGGTAGCTGGAATGTAGGGTCCCTTACGGGTAAGTTAAGAGAGTGTGTAGACACAACGGTTAGGAGGCATGTAAATATCTTATGCGTCCAAGAGACGAAATGGAAGGGGCAGAAGGCAAAGGAGATGGACAATACCGGCTTCAAGCTCTGGTACATAGGGACAACTTTAAATAAAAATAGAGTAGGAGTTTTGATTGATAAGAGCCTCAAAGATGGTGTGGTGGAGGTGAGAAAGCAAGGGGATAGAATCATCTTAGTTAAACTTGTCATTAGTGATATGGTCTTAAACGTAATTAGTGCGTATGCCCTCCAAGTAGGCCATGATGAGAGTGCTAAGCGGCTTTTTTGGGAAGACTTAGATCGCTTGGTTAGAGCTGTCCCTAGTAGCGAGAAGCTCTTTATAGGAGGTGATCTTAATGGCCTTGTAGGTACATCAAGTGCAGATTTCGAGGCGGTTCATGGGGTTTTGGATATGATAGTAGGAACCAGGAGAGAGAGGAAGTCTTAGACTTTGCTATAGCTTTTGATCTGATAATAGCTAACACTTTCTTTCATAAGAGACAGTTCCATTTAGTGACCTTTAGTAGCGGACAGTACTTTAGTCAAATCAACTTTGTCCTTACAAGGAGGGATAAACGAACATGCGTGGACTATAAAGTGATACCTGGAGAATGTGTGATCGCTCAACACAAGCTGGTGGTGGCTGACTTCCGTTTTCTGGTGCAAGCTCGTGGGAACAAACAAGTTAGGGTTGCTAGAACGAAGTGGTGGAAATTAGAAGGGGAGGCATCAAAGGTCTTTAAGGAAAAGATCATTGAAGAGGGCCCTTGGAAGGATGAAGGCGATGCAAACAACATGTGGGAGAAAATAGCAACATGCATTCGGAAGGTTGCTTCAGAGGTGCTTGGAGTGACCAAAGGGAGCGGATGAGGTTACCAGGAACATATAAGGGGATATCCCTTGGTGTATGTTGTTCGCTGGTGATGTAGTGTTAGTGGACGAAAGTCAGACGGGAGTAAATAGAAAACTAGAGTTATGGCGGCAGACCCTTGAGTCTAAAGATTTTAGATTGAGCAGAACTAAAACCAAATATGGGATGCGACTTTGGCGGAGCTGCATAGGAGGAGGGAGATGATACTTTGGAAGGTCAAATAGTGCTTAAGAAGGATACCTTTCGGTATCTGGGATCGATGCTATAGAGGGATAGAGGTATTGATGCGGACGTTAGCCATAGAATCAAAGCAGGGTGGTTCAAGTGGTGACAAGCTTCTAGCATTCTCTGTGACAAGAGGGTACCACAAAAGGTAAAAGGCAAGTTTTATAAAACAGCGATTAGACCGGCTATGTTGTATAGAGCAGAATGTTGGCCTACAAAGATTCGACATGTTCAACAATTGAGTGTTGCAGAAATATGTATGTTGCGATGGATTTGTGGTCACACAAGAATGGACCGAGTTCGGAACAATGATATACGTGATCGCCTAGGGGTAGCACCAATTGAAGAAAAGTTTGTCCAACATCGGTTGAGGTGGTTTGGCTATGTCCAAAGGAGACCTTCAGAGGCACCGGTGCATTGTGGAGTCCTTAGCCAAGCTAATAATACGAGAAGAGGTACAGGAAGACTGAAATTGATATGGGGGAGACAATAAAAAGATATTTGAAAGCTTGGGATATACCTAGAGATATATGTTTGAATAGGAGTGCTTCGAAAGCAGCTATTGAAGTGCCTGAACCATGACTTGGGGCTCTTTGGTGTGTTTCAACTCTAGTCTACCCCAACTTGCTTGGGACTAAAGGCTATGTTGTTGTTGTTGCTGCTGCTTACATGGTGCAATATAGCATAGATACAATTTTACAAGGCTGTCATAATTGAGGTCTTCATTACTCTAGGTTGCTGTACTTAAGGTTGTAGATCTTAAGTCTCATTATTATCAGACCATGTTCAGTGTTTGCAGAGCCAATGTTCCAAAATAAATTATCTATTTTATTGTCATTGTGAAGAAAAAAAAGTTGTTACGTGCCTGAACCATACCTAGAGATCTTTGTTTGGATAGGAGTGCTTAAAAAGAAGCTATTGACGTCCATGAACCATGGCTAGGGGCTCATGTTGGGTTTCAACTCTAGCTTTTACCCAACTTGCTTGGGATTAAAAGGCTTTGTTGTTGTTGTTGTGAAAAAAAAAAGTTAAAAGAAACTAAAGTGCTAGACCAATCTATGAGGTACTAGGCAGTGTCATATTAAGATAGACACCCAATTTTTCCTCACCAGAACTTGAACTTGGTTGGTTTAGGTTTATATCCACGCCCTAAAAAAAATCCAATGGACAACGAACTTCTCAGGTTCTACATCTGAGATATAGGTGATGGGTCATCCTGGAAGAGCAACATTGGCTTCCTATAAGTTTTTGGTGTGATATCTGAAACTGATTCAGAAAATTAGCAAGATGATTAATAAGAAGCCAATTTTGTGCATAGGCTTTGATATTTTTCTATAATTTATTTTTCCCAACTTTTTAAAGGTTTTTGTGCACAACTTATATCACTTTTAGGAATGAGCACAATGTACAGCTTCCTTCTTTCATTTATAATGATAATTGTCTGCTCATAGGGGGGGTGTTGTTGTGACAAGAGGTGGGGTATCGATGGTGGCAGTTAGGTATGGAGCTCATCAGCCACTACCATGTGATCGGGGTGGTAGGTGTCGCTGGCAGCAGATGGTAGGTGGGCTGGAAGCAGCAACAACAACTAGGTTGAAGATCAAATTAGAGGCATGTTGGTCATCGAGGCTAGAGATCGCTGGGAGGGTCAACAGAGAAGAAGGTTGATGGGGAGGACAACCAATAGAGGACAATTTCTTTTTTTTTTAAAAAAAATATATATTAACTGCCTACTTGCCATTGTAATAGAATCCAAGACCATGTCCTCAAGCGCGGTCCACCTCCATAATCTTGCATCACTGCTACCTCTGACTTTAGGGCAATAATTCATCTAAAGGAAATGTTACGTCTCTTCTCTGCATTCTTTTTGTTCTGCAGGCGACAGTATTCATATATTACTACCAACTTGGCATGAGTATTTTAGCATATGTAGGCCGGCTTTTGTGATGCAACCTTCACTCCTTCAGTACACCTGCTGCCTATGATGCTCTTGCATGCATATATCTGCACTTACGAAGCTGAGAAGCATATAGCACCATAGTGCCTTGGCTATGTTCTTTTCTCATGTCCACAAGCTCCATTAACCTCCTTTCTGTCTATCACACAACTCTACCTTCTCGTGGTCCTCTTTCTGTAGCGGGAGCGGCCAAGGTTATCCACCTGGACGAACACGATCAAAGCATGGCCTTCTCCGAACCATGTACTTCCTGAGACTGACTACCCTATTACTTTCGTGTAGTTTCTTATTATCATGCCTTAGAAGTGTTGAAAACTTGAGTTGGCCAACTTCAAGTTTCATCTGAAGGGCAGCAAATTTGGCTTCAAGGTTCGTCTTGAATTGGGATGTGTACATATGCAGAACTTTAAAAATTCTGATTGATAACTTGTGCCACCTTCTTGTCTAAAAACAAGAAACTGTCTGTCCTTAAAGAATGCCAACAGGAAAAAAGAGAGAATTCTGTTTGATGAGGTTGAGAATGATATGATGCACTGCTTATTTTCTTCTCTAATGATATGATACGTAGCTCTCCTACGTATTCAATCAAGGAAAAAAAAAGATGTACTGGCCTTTGCTTTTCATAGTGTTACAAAATGAAAGAAATGAAATACTGAAACCAGGTACCTTGTGAATAAGTTCTATTATCCCTGTTTGGACACATTTTCTCTAAAAAAAGGTGTCAAGGTGATAGGTGGTTATTGCTAGCAAGTTCTATTTAGTAGGGATGGCAATGAGTGGCATAATCTTCTCCTGGATGCATGTTTGGAAAAGTGGGATTGCTATGCATTTTTTGGACTAGAGAACTCAATTTCCCTTCTCTCCAACCATGGCCAAATTTTTTATTTGCATGTATTTCCTATTATTGGATTAATTTTTTTTCTGATGCACTCAATTGTTTGGCCTACAGCTTGCTTCAACCTCAGCATCTTCCTGATGAACAACTTCCATTAGTATTTGCTTCCTTGTAGCGATGTAACTTCTCCAGCACCGGTCGGCATACAGTCAATTGACTGGTACCATTTTCTCTCAACCCTATTTGTGTTTTTCATATGCTTCTCTTGGCTTCCTATCGAGTCTTATTGTCCGGTGTGCCGTGGAGCAGGAGGAACCACGGCGGAGATGGCTGAGCACTCGCCTCAGCAGAGGCTGATCGCCTTGCTCTCCAGCAAGCAAGAGATGCTCCGCAGGATGCCATGGGGAACGAGGACAGGGTTATGGAGCCTTTCCGGTCGGTGAGCGCCGAGCTGACTGACCCAAGCATTGTGAATGGTGCTGGGGACGTCATCAAAAAGTGGGTGCAGCAGGTGACAGAGATTAACCGTGACGTGGAAGACATGCTGGAAGAGACCAGCTCCAGCTCCAGCAGCAGCAGCATCCTCTCCATGATAGCGCCGGCAATCAACATCTTTTTTGCTCGCCGCCGGATGGCCAAGCAAGTCAAGCATATCAACTCCCGCATAGATGCCATCAAGCTAAGGTTGTCACTCCTCGCCAACCTGGACGACAGGGAGTCCCCGGCGAATGCCACACGGTACCGGATGGATGACCGGCAGCTGGACCCTCTCTCCTTGGAAGTCAAGGCGCTGGGCGTCGACTCAAGCCAGGAGAAGGTAAAACTGTGGCTGTTGGGTGCTGTGCCAGGGCTCACAGTGGTTTCTGTCGTGGGCACGGCCGGCGTTGGCAAGACCACTCTCGTGAGGAGTGTCTACAATGAGCCCCAGGTGAGGGGCCGATTCCGCTGTCATGCATGGGTCACCGTCGGTGCAGCTTTCTCAGCTGCTGTTCTCAAACGAATAATGCTGCAAGTCTTCCTGGAGAGGCCGGAGATGCCTGCCAATGCTGACTCCATGGAGGAGATGCAGCTGGCTGACACGGTGGGCCGCTACTTGAGTAACAAGCCATACCTGGTTGTCCTGGATGACTTGTGGAGCTCCGACGTCTGGGATTACCTGAGCATCGCGCTGCCGGACAATGGCCTCGGGAGCCGGATCATGGTGTCCTCCCGTGTGCCTGATATTGGGAGCCAGTGCCGGTGGGCGTCGGCCGTGCAGGTCCTCAAACACAGCCCACTCGACCGCGATGACTCTCTGCGGCTCTTCCGTCACGGAGCTTTCTGGTCGACCCACCCTCCGGAGCTGGAGATCTCCGAGGAGATCGTTCGTGAGTGCCATGGCCTGCCCCTCCTGCTCGTTGCCATGGGCGGGCTGATGTCCACCAAGGAACAGGCCGTGCCAACATGGAAGGCTGTTCTTGAAGAGCTGCACAGGACCAAGGACCTTCAGCTCACCCTTCCCTTTGTCCTATGGTTCGCATACAAAGACCTGCCGAGCCGTCTCAAGGCATGCTTCCTCTACTTCGTCCTGTTCCCCAGAACATACTGTGTCAAGCGCACTGCACTAATCCGTCTGTGGATCGCGGAGGGCTTTGTCCAGAAGGAAGTCGGCAAGACACTGGAGGACACCACCGAGGAGTATCTCAAGGAGCTCATCAACAGGAACCTTGTCCAGGTGACAGACTACTATGACTACGGCAAGGTCAAGAGCTGCAGCGTTCATGACATGTTCCGCGAGATCATCATCCATAAGTCGGAAGAGGAGAACTTCGGCGTCTCAGTTACCAGAGATGTTGATAGGATTGGTGCGAATGTGCGCCGTATTTCGATGATGGATGCCAAAGAGGACTTCCTCAGCGACGTCAAGGCAAGCAATGTCCGCACACTATTCATGTTGGGCACAAGCTCAGCGGCCACGTCATCCTTTCTATTATCCATCTCTGGTTACAAGTTGCTGAGGGTCTTGGACCTCGAGGGGGCACCCATTGATCACTTGCCTGAAGAGTTGCCTGATGGTCTCTATCTGCGATATTTGAGCCTGAGAAACACCAAGATCAGTAAGCTGCCCAAGTCGGTGAAGAAGCTAACTCAACTGCAAACTCTGGACCTGAAAGGAACGTATGTCTCAGAGCTTCCGCCAGGGATCTCCAGGCTGCAGAACATCCATCATCTTCTTGCATACCGGTACTATATTGGACTTCACCCGCCATACTACTACGCGCTCGGTGTCACACTGCCTCAAGGCATAGGACAGCTGAGGGAGCTGCAGAAGCTGACCTACGTGGAAGCAACACAAGAAAATGGCATGCTAGTAGAGCTCGGCAACCTGACACAGCTCAAGAGGTTGGGGATTGTCAAGCTTAGAGAGGGTGACGGCCCACGCCTTTGCTCCTCTGTCTCCCAGATGACTGAGCTACTGTCCTTGTTGGCATCATCGATCTCCTTGGATGAGCCCCTCGATCTCCGCTCACTTAATCCTGCTCCTCAGAGGCTTGAACGCCTCTACTTGAGGGGTCAATTGTTGAAGCTACAAAGCTGGATCTTCTCCCTCCGCAATGTTGTGAGGATCCGGCTCCGGCGGTCCAAGTTGAGCGAAGACTCAGTCAAGGAGCTCCAGTCTCTCAGGCATACGATGGGGAGTCCCTGCACTTCAGTGAAGGTTTCAGTAGGCTTCAGATACTAGAGATTGACCACTTGACCAATCTTGAACACATATGCTTCAGGGAAGCAATGCCCAAGATACAAAAGATGTCCATCAGGTCTTGTGAGAAGCTAAACACCATACCCGACAGCATCGAAGGCCTCAAACATCTCAAAGAAATTCACTTATTTGCCATGCCGGAGGCGATGGTGTCAAGCTTAAAGGAGGGAGGGGCAGACAAGCACAAAGTCGAACACGTACCAGTCATTCGAATCTACAATGAGCACCGGGACATTTCTTCCATAATTCTCTGAGTCCTTCGTGCTCAGACTTCACAAAATTTTAGTAGACATGCAGGTAACGTCTCTGATCATGATGAAAACATGTAGCATGCATTGCTTTTTTTTTCTTTTCCTCAGCTGCTTAATTTACTTAACATCGCAGGATTGGGTATTCGTTTGGCTTTCTCCCGGATGATGTTCAGATATCTGTCAGGAACGGAAGACCGTCACCGAGCTATTAGCATGTTAGCTACTACTATAAGGCATACTTATGTAATAAATTTAGCGTTGAGCAAGTATATTTTACAGCACACATCTGGATGCCCAATTAAGGCTTTAGACTTTAGATACGAGGTTCATGTGTCCATAGGTGTGCGAAATCTTTGCTCTCTTGTATTACTGAAAAGTTGTTCAGTTCTTTGTTTGTGTTTCTGGTAGCTTGTGAGGTTATGTAAGTTTGTGGTGATGTCTAGAGTAAATGGTTTGAAAAGATGTCGCAGTGACGATGCGTGAAATCGTTTTACTTTTGTTTTTTGTAACTCTTCATTCACAGGTGATGGCGCCATCACCCGTGACAGAATGCTTGGGTCTTATGCTTGTTGACAGAACCACTGGATACGAGGGAACTGCTTCCATTTGGAAGTGTTTTGGAACATTTGCCAAGATTTAAACTAAGGTCCCCTTCGGAACTTCTGTTTTCTGCATTTTTCCCTGTAAATTGAACTGAACTGATTCCTGTGAATGAAGAGTTCCAGAAGGGGCCCAAAGTAACAAGGTGGCGGAATTGAAGTGTGTAGGTGAAGGAGATAGGCATATCTGGAGCAGTTCTGATGTCTCATGTTCAGATTCTTTGCATTACACAAACGGACAGGTATTTTGAACATACTGAAGGCCTGATGTGCGGCCGCTTCACACTAATTTTGGAATGATTGTCATCATTTTCACAAGCAATCACTCTACAGCAGCGAAGGCTAAGCACTCTACAGCTGCTGGTAGGCCGTAGCTGATTAATCGCTGAATTAGCATCTGAACGAACAACCACCTACAAACAACATACTCTGCACGTACGACGCCTTACCCTGCAAGTGAAACCACTGCATGAATAGCATACAGCGTGGTCTATTTACACTTAGCTTACACCCCAACAGACGCTAACCTCACTGCCTATGCTTGCGTCGATCAGCTAGCAGTTCGATGGCCGATTGTAGGTGGGCGGCGCCGAGGGGCAGTTCTCGTTCATGTTGGCGTAGGGCTCAATCGTGTTGTACTCCGGCAGGTCCATCTTGTACTCCCCGAGGATCTGGCAGAAGGGGAGCCTGTCCGCCGCCGCGTTGCACCAGCTGGGCAGCCTCGTCTGGTTGTCCTCGAAGATCTTGAGCATGTACGCGTCCCGGATCTACCACGGATAAAAACCAGGGATTTTATTTGTCACTTGAACCGGATGCAGCAGAACAGTGCAGGAAATGAAAGGTGAACTGAATGAAAACAAATAAGAGTGCTCATCAGTGCTGTGTGTGTAGTCATTTTCCTGTCAGGAGAGGCACTTACGGTGAATTCAGTGACCTGGATTGAGTCCGTGAAGGGCGCGAAAACGCCGGCCGCCTTGTACATTGACAGAATGAAGGCAACGCACGTCGTTGATTTGCCATCGCTGTATTCCCAATCATCTCGTTCAGGTATGGTGAGCAGCTGGTTGAAAGACAAGCCGCGTCTCTCTGTCTCTGTAATGATCCCATGAAGGTCCAGTTTCTACATCCAAGCATAGATACTATGTTTTCTCAGCCAATTGATTGAGCTTTAGTCACTATGAATACTTCCATCGTAGATATAGCAAATAAAAAGGGATGAAAATAAACTAAACTACTTGCTTCACAGAAGCAATGCAGTTAACTGGTCAGAAGTCAGGACAAGCCCCTGTTTCAGGCCAGAATAACCACAGATCAATACCAAGTTCACAATGAACACCCCAGCCATCTGGTTTACTGTAAAAGCTGCAATTGAATAATGCATACCAAGATGGACTACTGAAACAGAACATAGAACTGAACTCCACATGGATAACTACATGTTAGAAACAAACTGTAGAATCGTCATCAAGTCCCCATCAGCTCAAGTGTGATGTGCTATGACATTGATATATACCTCAGTCCCAAGCCGTTTATTAAGGGCTTCATTCCACATGTTAGAAGCATAGCGTGGCTGCAATCTGCTCCACATGGACATAATAGCCATTACCTGGGATTAATGAATATCATGAACTGAACAGTGCAGCACAACAATAATATGAACAGATGAAACTATGTTGATAAAAGATATGTCTAGGACAAAATATATTAGTTTTTTTTTAAATAGAAAAATCTTAACCTAGGGTCAAAATGGAACTTAGTCTTAGTATTTATCTTGATCTCAACAATGAACAAGTTTAGCACTTGTACATAAGATCTCAGAGTCCGAGCACTGTACTTGTTTAGAACACCACACATTATACTTACATTGTTAATTTCTTATCGCTCCAAACTTATTTAGAAACCCATGTATATGCAATATTTATCTCTATTCAGTCTCATATTGCTCATGAATGAATGATACCAAGAGAAAATTCACCTAGGCTCTGTATAGGAAGTTTTTCAATGTCAGCAAATGCTTAGCAATCTACAGCGGTGTCAGCAAATGGCTTGTCTGCTTGTGAGTTTCAGGTAAATTTAGAATGCTCATATTGAAGGTCCCGGGTTCGAGTCGCGGTCTCCTCGCATTGCACAGACGACGGTAAGGCTTGCCACTGACACCCTTCTCCAGACCCCGCACAGAGCGGGAGCTCTCTGCACTGGGTACGCCCATATTATATATCAACTTTCAATTCAAGTTTATAAAGTGGGTGTGGTTCATAAGAGGAATTCCTGTTGTACTTCAGGGTGATAATGTTGGTAATGCACTTCTAATATGTATCCATGTCATCTCAGAAACATGACAATGTGAAATACCAACATGAATAAAATTATGGACATGGCAGAAGGAAAGCCTATGATGAAAAAGGAAACTGAAAAGAAGGAACCCAAACGTGAGTTTTAACAAAGATAAAGCAGTACCAGGTTAGCGTCAAGAGGAGGTGGATAATTATCTGACATTGTATCAATCCAACTAAATATCATATTATGATAACCATAGGGTTTTCCATACATGCTTTGCGCAAAATCCCATGCAGCACTCTCATTGAATCTGGCCCGTACATCAGGGTGCAATGGCAGAAGTGCTATCTGAGGATTTGAGTCATCTTTAAGTGCCATTCCCCACCATTCATCCCATGGAGTCATACTAATGATTTCATCACCCTGCCATCATTGCCAGATATCGTTAAAAAATAACAAGTACTAATATGACGAAATGCTTATAGATTTTAAGCGCATGAAGCTCTAAGTACTAAGGTTTGACAACAGAGAGTATAATTTCAATTTTCCATAGCACTAACAACTGATCTGAAAGCTCCATTCTCTACCATAGTCTTTTACTCTTTTATAATGAGGCGACGCATAGCCAAACTCTACATCAAAAGTCTATCTACCAACCTCCTTGTTTGGGATAAACACAGGTGTAATCAAGTCTGGTAATAGTATTCATAGATTCATAGATTCGATTCAACTTCTAACTTGGTGGGATAAAAGAAGATGGTCTGTAATGGGACCTTTCATCAATCAAATCAGTTCTAGTCTTCTAGAGAAAAAAGAATGCCAAGACCTTGCATTAGCAGAGTTTATGATTATGTGAAAACTAAATATCCAAAAAGTGAAAAACAAATGTTGAGAATTTTATTGGTGGGCTAATATCATTTCACTACACCAAGAAAACAGGAAATCTCACCAAATATTTGCTGCGTAAAATAGCTAATGCTGAATCATATTTTGTATTTGTCATTACAATTGTCCTTAAGTCATATAGGTCAAAGTCCTAGGTTATCAACTGAACTAAGAATTTCAGAGAAATACTACCTTTTTATTTTCATAGCCTGACTCTGCAACCCAGAGGGTGCCATTCTCATCTTTCAAGAAAACTGCAGTATGCCCAGCAAATGCGCCGGTCACCCATTTCTCCAATGTCTGAAATCCACCCCATCGCCCTCGGATTTTTGAAAGGGCCAAAAAGTCACCCGAATGTACATCTTCTCTCCTTATATTCGCAGACCAGGGCTCAGAACGTTTCTGAAATGAAGTTCCCATATGCTTCTGAAGAAATGCCAAGTTGGCATCCTGTCCCCAACCGGTGTTTGAAAACAAAGGTACAACATCAATCAAGGATAACAATGTCCCAAGCATTCCAGATGGCATGAGAAAAATGGCAATTCCATGCTGCTTTACCTGGTGCACACATTGATTATTAGGATTACTGGGAAACACCGAGCGGTATTGCCCAAAGTAAAGAGAAGTCAACCTTCAAAAGAAACGTACATATTCCATTTCTGCTGCTTCCTCCCACGCTTTAATCTCAAAGGTGTGGTTTTCATTTGACCTCATATAGTAATCCCAGGCTATCCTGTATGGCGTCGCAAACACATACAAATCCATGCATGTCCAGCTCTGAGGCGAAGCAGTCTACATTGTTCCACAAAGAAACATTTGGAAAGATAAAAATTGTCATAAAGCATGATACTAGTGTTAGCACTCCCTAGTTCCAAATCGTAAATCGTTTTAGGTTTGTACTAATTCAAATTGTCATAAAGCATTTGACCTCATATAGTAATCCCAGTCTATCCTATACTATGGAGTATAAAGAATGCCTGTTTTTGTTTACTCGCCCTACAGATACAATACAAATGGTCTCCAAAGTGAAAAAGTGTACAACAGCCGGTACAAAGAAAAGCAAAAACAAAACCTAGGAGCCATGCTTCATATTTGTCACTACAGGACAGAGTGACACGGACGTGCAGACTAGTGATTTGGCATTTCTATTGTTTTGTTTGCCACCGACCGGGTACCAATAATGTACAATAATCAGCGGCCATTCCCATTCTATTTCTATCCGTGTTCCAAACATGTGTGTTCTTTTGTCTTGTTGTACTACTATTAAATTCAGGCATCCAAAATTCGTTTGTCCCTCTTACAGTCCCAGTCAAAATTCACTCGGATCACACAATTAGCTAGGCAATGTGTCCGCTTTGCTATTGATCGAGAAGCCATAATTCAGCCAAAATATATATGGGATTTAGAGTCAGGATTACGGTGGAACGGAATCTAAAGAAATAAATCAGTCCGCAGCTGAAATGTCACTAGTTGCTACTCGTAATCAGCTTGCGTGCTCTGGGCAATGTGAGCGTGAGGGAGCCCTCACCTTGAGGCGGAGGACGGCGCCACCGAGGCCAGAGGTGGTGCTGTTGAGTCCCCCGGCGGTCCCGTTGCGGCCGGGCGCGCCGCCGGAGCCGGGGGTGAGGCTGAGTACGGCCTGGTTCTCCGCGAAGCACGCGCCGCGCCAGGCGGCGGCGGGCCCGCCCGGCGCCACGGCGGCAACGAACGATGGGAGCAGGTCGACGGCGCTGTGGGCCGTGGCGCCCATGAGCTGCCACGCCAGCCGCCGCGGCAGCAGCGGGAGCAGGTCCCTCGCCCGGAACGGCGCCGCCGCCGCCGCCCCGCCGATTAGGACATGGAGCAGCGCGAGGAGGAGGGGCGTCCACCGCGGCAGAGCGGCCATCATCGGCAGGCCGATCTGGCCGCCCGTGTGCCGCGCCCGCGCGCTTAATTAAGCTCCCGGTCCCGGGGGCTTTGCTGCGCCCCGTGAGCTTTGTTCGCTTCGCTTGCTTGGCTGCTTGCTCTGTGTGGCTCGTGGCCCGTGAGGCCGCACCACCACCAGAGATCGGGCGGCCGCGTCGAGACGAAATACGAATGCTCGGCCCGCGCGCCGCGCCAAACGGGCTCACTGTATTTTTAAGAGCCGCCGCCAGCCACCGGCGTGCGTGTTGCGTAGGACGGCGCACGGCGCGCCGGCGCGGCAGATCAGGTCCCGGGTGCAGGTGCGGACAAACTGGCGCCGGGCACGGGCCACCGGCGGGCAGTGGCCTGGGCTCTATTTGAAGCGGGCGGGCAGCCGCCGACCGAGAGCTGGAAAGGATTCGGCGACCCGTGCTTTTGCTGTCCTTGCACGATCACGAGGCTGATGACGTCTTTGAGTTGGAAGTTTGGAACGTAACGGTTGCACTGGCTTGGCGGCCAACCAACTGACACGGAGAACACCAAAATTGTCTTCTGTCCCACTCGGATTGATTGAAGCGTGTTCTAAGGCTGTCTTCAGGAGACCTTTTGCGGCCAACAGAGTATCTATATGAAAGATCCATTTTAGATGTTAGGAGAGACATAACCCAAATCTGAGTATCTCTCTCGAGAATCCATTTGCAGAAAGAATTATTTATTGAGTCTTGTTGTTGAAGAAGACCAAAAATAGGTATTGAATCATTTACTTGTAACGTTCTCCAAATAATGAATGTGTTTTGTATTTTGGATCACGATTGTTGGAGACGGTCTAAGTTATTCCCTCCGTTAAGGAAATAATGCAATTTTACCAGTGTCATGTTTTAGAATATTACGTTTGACTAATTATAGATAAAAAAGTATTAATATTTATAATATTAAATAAATATCATTAGATTAATTATAAAATGTATTTTATAATAAATTAATTTGGAGTCATAAATACGAATAGTATTCACTAAAAACTTGGTCAAACATGAACTACTTTTGCCAACATACAACCCGTAGATGCATTCTTTCCTGAACAGAGCTAGTAGTTTTTTTTCTCACACATATAAGTCCAAATTAACGGAATTAGCAATGACATGGTCCTAACACGTGAGACCCAATGAGTAAATTTCTTTATCGATTCTTAAATTATCATGTGTTCTCGTTTAGGTCTTGATACTCTTAAATGCACTTTTAGCACCTAAACTGGATAATAATATCACATTAGTACTTGAACCTAATTAAACGAGAACACGATGTTAGAATTTTAGACAATTTTAATAATAATTTAATCCAAAAAATAGCAATAATGTGCTTGTGTGATCTAAGCATGAATAATATGTAGATGATACTAACCAGCAAGATATTGATCGAAAACTTTATTGAAACTTTCATCATCAAATTGCCACTAATTAAAAACGGAAGAAACTCCCGTAATTATGTGATTTGATTGGCAAAACCCGGCCCCATCCGTCCGCTCGCCTGCCTGCCACAACCTTGGCCCGACTGTCGGCGGTGGTGGCGGCGCGCGTGCGTGTGGCATACCAGCATATTTTTCTCAGCTTCTCAATATAGATAGACAATGTCCAACCATATAAACCGAGTCAAAATCTAGTCAAAATCTCGTATGGTATTAAATCATATATAGCGCATTAATATGGGCCATAGAGTTTATTTGATTTATTAAATATTATATTGGCCAAACCCATAATATATCCAACAATCATCACCAAATTATAGGGTTCGTAGTAAAATAGTCTTAAAACCACAAATCTTTGATATACTAGAGTTTCGACGAAGACTATTAAGTTGAACATCCATCTAGAATAGAGACTCTACACATTCACAACTGAACAATGGATTATGACTTAAATTGACAGTTTTGTGTGAATTGAGTTTTACCAAAATTCTTTCATGGTACTAGGCTGCTACAAGCATCCCCTTTGTTTTGAAGCATATAAGTCACACTTCCATGCCTTTCATGAGTATCTAGAGATTACCCACATCTCATAGACTGTGACTAGCAGTCGAACTCACATAGGGTTTTCCTTCTAAGACGTTTTGTAGGACAACATCTCTGCTTCAATAAACCACTCTATAAGTGCAATCAAGTCCTATTGTGAGTTTTGGTGATGATAACGACATATTTAGAGGACTAATGAGATTTATCAAGTTGATAAGCAGATAAAATGAAAAGGAGGATAATACATGTGTTGGTGGAGCCCTCAATTACAAAAGGATGTGGTAATCAACTCAATGGCGTTTAAATTTATTTTTATTTCAAATTTGAATTTAGAAAAAGCCGCACTATAAAGGGGATGCAATATACAAGCTTCAATGTGCAACCATGTGCTCAAATACCCACCAAAATATCCTCAAATCATAGCCAAGACAACAAGCTCTGCAATCTCATCTTTTGAGTCGTGCTCAGGCAGAGCTAAGACTGTTGTCAGCAAGTGGCATCGCCACTCGAAAGAAAAGACTGCTGATCAAAAAGCGACGACACTACCACGAGTTAAAGTTAAAATAATGATTGGTGAGGGATATTTTACATCTTCCTCATCTCCTCCAACGGGAACCTCGCCCATTTTTCCACGACTTAGCGACTAGAGCAGCTCCTCTTTCTCCATTGCAAGACTCCCAAGCTTCTCTCCCTAGATTTCCTTCCAAATCTTTGGGAGATTGAGCCTCAAATCTTCGATTGAGAGCTGCTCCAACTGATCTTCAACTCCTAGAGCACGTGGTTCGCGTTCAAGCTGGTGGATTGCATCTGTTACTCTTAGAGCTTGCTTCTAGTCGGCTAGAGCGTCACCCATGGAGCTTGCCAACTTGTGTGGCAGCACCGGGAGGTTTGTAATCACCCCAATCATCTATGCGAGCGACAGTGCCGCGTGAGTGAGTGGCAGTGCCGCCTAGAGTGGTCAATGCCGCTGCATCGAGCAGCAGTGCCACGCATAATTTGACAGCAGTTTTTAAGTTTTGTTTTGGCAGGCCTATTCACCCCCCTCTCTAGGCTAGCCAGCGATCTTACAAGTGGTATCAAAGCCGGTTACCTTGTTTGAGCTTCACAGCGTGAGGTATGGAGCCCGGAGGAGGAGCCGGTGATGTGCAAGCCGTGCACGTTGACCCTAAAGATGTGGAGCTGCACGATACGGACAGCAGCAAGCTAAGTGCATCAATAGCAGGCACTTCGCTTCCCGCTGTTGTCCTCTCTAATGAAGAGAAGGCCCAAAGACTAGAAGAAAAGAAGTAAAGAAAAGAAGAAAGAAGAAAGAAGAAAGAAAAGGGAAGCAAGGCAAACAAAGAAAGAAGCTTAGTGAAAGCTTGAAGAGAAGATGCAAAGAAAAGAAGATAGGAGGCTGAAGAGAGAAGCAAGAAAGAGAAGAGAAGAAGCTAAGAAGAAGAAGAAACTTGAAGAAGCGAAATCAAGCAACACTTCATGAAGTGAACTATCAAGTAGCACCGAAGATGGACATGATGATGAGTCCTACCAAGTATCCAAGGGTGGGAAGAAGGAGAGCAAGGGAAAGGGCGGCGACAACAAATGTGCAACCGTATCCTTTGATTATTCTTCTGTGACTAACAATGATCGTAGATCTTTCATCAATGTGCTCGTGGGCAAGTTGCCCTGTTTTGATGGGACCAACTTTGCCAAGTGCAAGTACTTGATGAGAGCCTATCTTGTAGGTCTTCACCAGGGTATTTGGGATTGTATGCAATGGTGTTGAGCCACCGGTTGATCCCAAAAACCCAACTCGAACTGAAATTTGTAACATTTATCTAAATGGTCAAGCCACAAGTGTGTTGCTAAGTGCTTTGGATGGTGATGAGTACAATAGAGTCATGGGAGTTGATGTGACCAAGCAAATTTGGGATACTCTACATCTTGTACATGAAGGGGTTGACAAAGTAAGAAATGCAAGAATTGATTTGTTGCAAATTTAGGATACTCTACATCTTGCAAATTTGGGATGCTAAGTGCTCTCTACAAGCAAGTCTAAGTCCAACAAACAAGCATCAACTAGCAAGCCCAAAGCACCAAAGCAAGTCAAAGAGGAAGTGAGACAACATCATCATCAAGTGAAGATGAAAGTGATAGTGAACAATATGAGAAAGTAAAAGATGTTGCTCTCTTTTTGAGAAGATATCAAAAGGGGCTCAAAAAGCAAGGCTACAAGGTAGTGAAGAGAAAGTTTCCAAACAAGAAGAGGCTATGCTATAACTATGGAAGCACCGAACATCTCATTGCTCATTGTCCTCATGAAATCAAAGACAACAATTACAAGAGAGACAAGAAAGCGAGCAAGACCGACTACAAAAAGAGCAAAAGGCACATGGGAGAGGCTCACATTGGACATGGATGGGACTCAACAAAAGATAGCTCAAATGAGGAGGATGAGAAGATTGCAATCGTGGCTATTCACAAGCCATCCTCCACACCAAGGCTCTTCAACAACATGTCCGATGATGACTACTACTCCCCTCACATTTGTCTCATGGCAAAGGGTGAGAAGGTAAAACCCAAATCAAAATCCAAACCTCCTCCCCCTAGTGACATCTCTAGTAGTGATACAAGTGATTACTCTAGTGATGATGTATCTAGTGATGAAGAAGTTGATAACATAACTAAAATTTTGGATAGCAAGACCAAATTGTTCATCACTAAGCTAATGGAGGATTTAGAGAGTGTTCAAGCTGAGCTAGAATCTAGAGAGGAAACTCTTATCAAGCAAGAGTATCTCTATATTGCTAGCAAGAAAGCTCTTGCATTAGAGAGAAGTGAGGTGGAATCCTTACGTAAGGCTTTGGCCAAAGAGCAGGAGGACCATGCTATCACAAAGAAAGCACATAATGCTCTCAAGAAAAAATATTATAACTTGGATGAAAAGCACAAAGAACTTGAGCTGCAATATGGTATTCTTTGGGACAACAACTCACATCCTTCTAAGGCAAAGGAAACCT